TTTCAAGAAAATGAACCAAAGATGATATCACATTGTATATTGCATGAGTGTGTTTTCAATTATTCTGTAAATTAATTATCGGCGATGAGTCTACTGAGTATTTCTTCGAAATACTCATTCTGCTATTTTAACAATATTTGCAGACTTCGGAGGCGAACGTGATTGATCCGGCAGTGGTGGCAATATAAAATTTGATTATCGAAATTATTAAATTTTCGAATTTATGTATTGAAACATTGTTAACGTGTTTTTCGTTTCCGCTATTCCAAAACACGATATTTAGATTTTGAACAATTATTCAATATATTTTAATTGTCGACGTAGTTTTCAATTGCAAAATGTGATTTTAAAATTAGGTCATTTCCGCAAAATTGATTGACAAATTTAGGGCAAAAGACGATGACGTGGCAATCCGGGTTAACAGAACTCGGGGCGCTACAGTATGCTTCTCAAGATACAATGTAAGACCAGTAGAGTCTGAGCACCACAGAAGCTACTCCGGCGAACTGAGTTAGAGCCTGAACAATATCACCATCGGACTCAAACAAAAATGAAAATATAGACAAGACTTGAGTTGTATGCAATTGAGTATTCAGATGAATTGTTATTTTAGGAGTTTCAACTGTTTCAGAAAATGAAAAGTCAGTCGAAAAATAAAATAAAATGCAGCAAAAACGTAGGCTCTTCTAAGGGGCCAACTTTTGGTCGATCCGGTCCGACATTCGTGTACGCAAGTCGCGGCCGCACACTAGTTCAAAGTCTGATACTTATTTCGATCCGTGATTTACACCCCCCTTTGCACGTGGAGAGAGTATTTATGCTACACATGATTATACCATTCTAAAGTGCAATCATTTATAAAGCAGTTTTAGTTTTCATCAACTTCCTATGTGGGACAAACTTTAATTTTTTAGTTTTTCCATCAACATAAACTCTTTTCACAAGACATACTTTGAGTTTCAATTTCTCATTCACCCAAACATCATTTTTGACAAGTATATGATTTCGATGTACTCACGGAGGAGAACACAAATCAACTTTCATCTCCAAAATAGCTAAACAGGTCCCGCTCAAAATTCGTACCAAAGTCACCCACTAACTAAATTTTTTCCAACAAATGGTTATCACAAGAACACTTGTAACAATTAATGCAGCAGCAACTATTGCTGAAGAACTCAACTTGGGTTTATGTGCTCCAGAGTGCCAGAGCATGGGACATCTAATGGTGCACCATAGAGACCTTGGTTGTGAAAAAATGCAGAGAAGCCAGACTGTTGAATGCTTGGAATTGAAGGGATAGCACCAAAAATGTTGCAAGACACGTTGAAATGAGTTGTAAAAGGAATTGAATCGAATATACAAATCCAACGAATGTATGTTAGACAAATTTCCGATAGTCAATGATATGCTTCCATTAACCCGGTTATGATGTAGGTCAAGAGTTACGAGGTACGTCATGTTGTCAAGATTTTGTGGAATGCCACCCTCAATAAATGTTGATGTAAGCACATAACAGCCAGTGATGATGATTCGACTCACAGCTCAAGAAGAAACTGGCAAATGCTTATAACGTCCGGGATTTCACCAACGAATTTGAGATTATGCAAATCGAGAACTTTAAGCTATTCAATACTCACAAACTGTGATGGGATCGTCCCATCTATTGAGTTATTTGCTAATCCAATAACCAATAGCCTCTTCAAATCAGCAATGCCAACTGTTGTACTTCCACTGAGCCCGTGAAAACTGAAATCTAAATACTTTAGGCCACTGCATTTTGTGATGCTTGAAGGAACTTCACCATACAAATCATTCCCCTTAACATCAGAAATTACAATCTCCCACTGCAAGTTTCAATCTCTGGAATTTCACCCTGAAACCCTTCCACGAAACATTAAAAATAGGTAAGATTATCGATCCAAGAATCCCAAACGGGGCTCCCCCTGTAAATATATTGCTACCAAGATCCAAAAGTTCCAACTTCCACACGCAGAAACATTATCTTCAAAACTTACTGATAGCACATTACTCCTTACCGAAAAGTACACTACCACTGGAATTCCACAAATTTCTGCAGGCAAAATCCTCCATTGAGACTCTTGAAGGCCAAATCTATCCTATCAAGATTCATACAATTACCAATCGACACAGATTGCATCGAAAATATTGTTATGTGCTAAAGAAACTAACCTTGTATTCTTGAACAAAGCTGAAGGAATCTCCCCATTGTACCCGTTTCTTGATAAATCAAGAAACTTATGTTTGGCAAATCCCCAAGAAAATCATGGGATTACAGCTTAAATTAATCTTCCACAATGTATCAGTCTCTCCATACTCCGAAGGAATATTTTCTTGTAATTTATTCCTAAATAAATTAATAATCCTCAAAAAAAATTTAATCCAGATAAAGCAGGAGATAAAACCCCACCAAGACTATTATTATATAACAAAAATTTCACCACATTTCCGTCTGAACTACAGAGTACACCTTTATAATCTCTGCAGTGGCTATAATTTTGATCTCAAGAACTCACTCAAAAAAAGGTCTATTGAAATGTTAACCTTGAATTGAAGCAAGATTTTCTTTTCAGTTATTGGTGAGAGCAATACTATCAAAAACACAAGAAATAGAATGCATGGAAGAAAACAAGATAATGAATAATCGTATCTATTTCTTAATGTTACAAACAATACCCAGCATTATATTTGCTGGATCCAGTCCTACAACACTCGATCTCTGCTTCTGCATATACGCTGATGAAAACACCAACAAAATGAGTTCTTTTCATTCAGTGTGATGTATGTTTGTTAAAGGGTAACATTTTAAATGCTCTATCTTGGAGAAAATAGGAAGAAATGGAAGCACATTTTGTGGGCATGGTAAAAAGACGGTGAGTTTATGGTATTTTCTTGGGATCTTTCTTTGGTTAACAATGAAATGAGAGTTCTGCATACTTAGTGCATATGGGCTAGTTTGAGTTGATGAGTTCAAGAATTAGGTGTAGTGATAGATATACTCATAAACACACATCTAGAAAGAGAATTGCTGTTGGCTGGTTGGCAAAAGAGGAGTGATCATAAATGAAATATTGCCTGGCTTGGCTTGAAAGAGAAGCCAGTGTGACAATCCCATTAAATAACTGCACTTTTTTTTATAAAAGGATGAACCGTATCTTTGGCGGCCTCCGTCTATCCTGTCCTGAACCTTGGTGAAGGAGGTAAATCACAGGTTATGCCTCCAAGGATAAATGGTGGAAGGCTGCTTGTATATTTGCACTTACCCAAGAGTCAAATCCATATTTCAGGATTCGAACCCTTGACACGGCAACTTCAAGCAAAACTGGAGTTTTTTCACCTTCCTCTTTTACCAATTGAAGATGTGCCTTGGTGGCAACTGCACTTTTTTTATACTTATTACATTCGTCGATCCCCCTAGTTAAATCTCGAACTCAGGTAAATCGTAATATATGGGAAACCAATAGTAACAACTCACTTATTATTAAAACGTGAGAACAACCCATTTTGTTTTTTTGCTATAAATCTTCATGTTCAATGTGCCTTTTGTAGGGTCTGTCTCGCCACAGAGAGCATTGAAATCTTTGTCTTCGATCTTAGTTGTCAATCTTTCATTACAAACGTAAGATGATCACTTCAAATAGAAAATGTCCAAATAATTGTGTTAAATTGTCCAGTGATCTTCGTAAAAATATGCATTACTTCATATTCATAAGCATAAGTTGCATTTCATAAGGTTAGACGTCTTAGAGTCTCATGCCAATCAACCTTCAACCTTGGCATTGAGAACCGACTTATTCTTTTCAACAGTTGGAGACGACCTCCTCCTCTGTTCGCTTATGAGGATTTCTAGTTGGCCGATCTGGTTTTGATTAAGTAATCTGTCTATCCCTAATCTATGAAGGATTGACTTACTCCTCGAGCAATGAACTAGAAACTGGTTCAATTTTTCCCATTTCTTAGTAGAGTTTTGCTGCATATTCTACATATTTTATTGCTTTTGAATCCTTATTCATAGATTCTCGGTTGAAAAATAAACATAAGAGTTGACATTTAGGTTGCTGTTTTGCGCTAGACCGTAACAGGAATTTAATGTAAAATTAACAGAAATTTTACAGATGTTCTTCATAGAATAATGTTTTTTAATTATTAACATAATCATTCGTCTAGATAATAATTAACCCATTGATTCATTATCCTGCGAAATTGTGAATCATCTGACAATTGATTAAAGGCACACTGCCACCTACACAGGTTGTATCACAACAAATAGTGAATAGCATTATTCACTTTCATTTAGGAACCCAAATAGGGCATCAGTGTTCATAAAACATCTACTTTCTTCCCAGCACTACGTGTCAAATCTTAATTAACATTCAAATAAACTTTTCCTGTTAATTGCAGAATAAGTGAACATTGTTTTAGAAAGGATGGAGACATAAATGCAGTAAATACAAGGTTAGAAAAATAGGTTGTCACATCTATGAAAGGTTGAAAACCCCTTACAGAATTTTCCCCAATAATTTCAACACGTCACCATGTGATGTTACATAGTTACTTTTATGTCAAGGAATTTCAGGGTTAATCGAGTGGTAGATAACATTAACGAGCAAATTGAAGAATAATTTGATCCCAAACAGCACAACATCTCACAAAAAGGAAAGCCAGACAACATTAACAAGACCTACTACGGTCAAATTGTAACACTGCTTTGCAAAGCCGAGTAAGCAGTAATTTAACCCTTAAAAATACGGGATTTCAATTATGTACCTATATGTTTTACAATGAAGGAGAAAGGAACTTTAAATGGTTTTAGCAGTTACCACCAATCCCACAATCGACTTGCCGATATTAGCTGTGTTAGCTTCCTTTTCCCCTTCCACTATATGCACTCATATCGACCTCGTCCTGTGAGATGGCATTGCCTTCTCCAATATAATTTGTCCAGGCAGAAATTGATTTCGTTATAAACAAAACCCGCCAATCGTTATACGAAACATAAATTGTTGAATCGCACAATTTTCATGGGATCGACCCCTTACTTCCACTACTACATTAGTTTTAAAGATTTAAGGACTATTTTTTTGTACCTACGACAACACGCCACAATCTCTCCATACTCCAAAGGAATATTTCCTTGTAATTTATTCCTAAACAAATTAATAATCCTCAAAAAAAAAAAATTTAATCCAGATAAAGCAGGAGATAAAGCCACACCAAGACTGTAATTATATAACAAAATTTTCACCACATTTCCATCTGAATTACAAAATTCACCTTTATAATCTCTGCAGTGGCTGTAATTTTGATCTCAAGAACTAACTCAAAAAAGGTCAATTGAAATGTTACCCTTGAATTGAAGCAAGATTTTCTTTTCAATTATTGGTGAGAGTAATACTATCAAAAACACAAGAAACAGAATGCATAGAAGAAAATAAGATAATGAATAATCGTATCTATTTTTTAATGTTACCAACAATACCCAGCATTATATTTGCTGGATCCAGTCCTACAACACTTGATCTCTGCTTCTGCATATACGCTGATGAAAACGCCAACAAAATGGGTTCTTTGCATTCAGTGTCATGTATGTTTGTTAGAGGGTAACATTTTAAATGCTCTATCTTGGAGAAAATAGGAAGAAACGGAAGCACGTTTTGTGGGCATGGTAAAAAGACACTGAGTTTATGGTATTTTCTTGGGATCTTTCTTTGGTTAAAAATGAAACGAGAGTTCTGCATACTTAGTGCATATGGGCTAGTTCGAGTTGATGAGTTCAAGAATTAGGTGGTGATAGATATACTCATAAACACATCTAGAAAGAGAATTGCCGTTGGCTGGTTGGCAAAATGGGAGTGATCACAAATGAAATATTGCCTGGCTTGGATGGAAAGAGAAGCCGGTGAGACAATCCCATTGATAACTGCAATTTTTGTAAATCTTGTATGCATCATAATTTTATGTGAATAAATAGGGGAAACTGACCCAGAATCCATTCCTGCACTGGTTGTCCAAAGCTGATTCCTTGGAAGTTTTTCTTGTTTCATCTGCCATTTGGACTCGTTGAACCCGAGCTCTAACTTGAATTGCCATTACAGCACCAAGGGACCTTAACACGGCAGCCATTTGTTTTCTTACCAGGTGACCCCTTACTAGAGCTTGTATTTTCACTAATCAATGCTTCAGTGGTGGTGATTGTTGCTTTCTATTCAGGAATTTCAATTAAAAAGAAGATAAATAATGCAAAAAATTATCTAAAATTGTATAATTAGCCTACTGTTCTAATCTCTTTATTCTGACATTTGGTAGTCCACCTCTCCCCTGCTTTAGAATTCCAGTGATATGCCCAGTTAATTCCCCTTGCTTGAACTGTTTTTTGATTCTATCTTGGAGATCTTTGTTGGCAAAACCAATCTGCTGCATGGTTACATTCCCTTCACATGTGCGTGAATGTTATGCTTAACACTTTGTCATTCATATTATCCTATAGATTTGCTTAATTTAACAGTATTTTGGAACTTTGATTGGTTTTGTACTTGAGAAATGAGCAAATGAATTTATGGTAACTTCTCAAAAGAGAATAGTGCACATTGATGTATTAATTAAGACTGCATCTTAATGCAGCTATTGTACTATAACTTCATTGCCTCAACTTCTCTTCCTCACTCACTGGGGGTGGTGGCGTTTTAGACAAGTGGCATTCTGATTCTGTGCAGTAATCTTTGAGATCTTTTATGATTCTGTGAGGTGGTTCCATTTTGGTATTATGTGGCTGTAAAAAAAAATAAAAACCCACAGCAGCTGTAAGCACATGTAAAGTTGAGATTGACACCTATTTTTCGCACAGAAAGTTTGCATCTTTCAGACTACATGTATATAAAGTTCTTATAATTGAAATGTATATTTGAAACAATTATTGGATTAAATTCTTGCTAAGGATTTACATTAGCATTTGAGTTCTCATAATAAACCTGATGCAAAGATCTCTGTGAACACCTACAGTTGCCGTTAAACCAAATGAATCAATTGAAAATATTGCTCACGCCTTTCCAATATCCAATTCAGTGGAACACTAATGTTCAACCTTCGATACATTTTTTTTGGCATGAAAATATTGACTTTAAAATAGAGACTGTAGTTGAGAAAGAAGAAAAGAAAGAAAAATTCTTATTTAAAAAAAATTCAAATTTCAAAATAAACGCGTTTTCACGTATTCTGTTTTCAGAAAGAATTTTTCAGAATGACAAAAAGAACGTATTTTCAGAAATCTCAAAACAGACACTCAAAACACAAAACACAAAACGAATTCAAAACTCAAAACACAAAACTGAAACACGAAGAGAACGCCCCTAACTTTCTTCCCAGCACTACGTGTCACATCTTAATTAACAATCAAATAAACTTTTCCTGTTAATTGCAGAATAAGTGAACATGGTTTTAAAAAGGATGGAGACACACATGCAGTAAATACAAGGTTAGAAAAATAGGTTGTCACATCTATGAAAGGTTGAAAACCCCTTACAGAATTTTCCCCAATAATTTCAACATGTCACCATGTGACGTTAGATAGTTACTTTTATGTCAAGGAATTTCAGGGTTAATCGAGTGGTAGATAACATTAACGAGCAAATTGAAGAATAATTTGATCTCAAACAGCACAACATCTCACAAAAAGGAAAGCCAGACAACATTGACAAGACCTACTACGGTCAAATTGTAACACTGCTTTGCAAAGCTGAGTAAGCAGTAATTTAACCCTTAAAAATACGGGATTTCAATTATGTACCTATATGTTTTACAATGAAGGAGAAAGGAACTATAAGTGGTTTTAGCAGTTACCACCAATCCCACAATCGACTTGCCGATATTAGCTCCAATATAATTTGTCCAGGCAGAAATCCTAAGATCACTGCAATAGGCCATCATCCTTTTGCAGTTCATTGAGCCGCCTTTTGCCGTACAATGTGATTATCACTGTTGTAGCCACCGTGATGCAAAATCCGACGACATTGAAAATTATCTGTGATGTTGACAAAGAGTGCTGATCACGGGATGCATCGGCCAAGGTTTTTATCAGGATGCCACTACAAAATCAAAACTCCATCAGTCTCAAAAAGCTTTCATCATTAATTTTAGCGTCACCTTCACAATTTCACAATTGTGAAATTGACGAGAATAACAAGGTACCTATTTCAATGCAATTGCAAAATATCAAACTTATGAAAGTTTTACATCCTATTAGTCACATCCAGAATCCTACTGTTCCTATCCAATTGCAGATTTTGCATATCATGGAAATAAATGATTTCTGACTAGGCTCCCAAAGGACAAGACTTGGACAAGAAACCTTAAAAGACTGAAAAGAAGAAAACAGAGAGTAATAATTTGCCATGTTGGAGAGAAAAACAGAACCACATTACAAAACAACCAGATCTTGTAGGAGTTTGGCATGACTTTATGAAAGCTTATTGTCTGAGTTATCATAAGCAACAAAACACCGCAGACATTGCTAGCAGAATGGAAATCAAAAGACATAGAAGAATGTGAACATCACCTGAGCACAATTACATCAAATAAGATTATTGAAAAATACCAGTTATTTAACCTCTCTAAAAATAAGAAGGAAAAGAATACAACACAGCCAAACACGTGAACATTTGCCTACGGCTATGGCTTACCGCTTACCTCATTTTTCCTTTTCTTTTCATGTTTTTCTTTTATTAGGTGTGCACATGCATGGCTTCGTATAAGCCATTTGGAAAGCAACTAAAGACTATGCCTATATACAAATCATGCATATAACCAAGCCAAATGTTGTAGTCAAATCCTAATACTTCTCCATGCATCTCAAGTCTTAAGAGTTATTTGGTGAGGCTTTGCACCATTGTTTTCTGAAAGAAAGAAATATATATATCTATACATTAATCTCACAGCCCAGTAACATAAATTGCCAGTCAACGCAGGATAAAGTGTTCAAAG